GTAGTTGGGTGGGTAGAAGGGGGTATCATGCACCCCCCTGAAATATACTTCTAATCAGCTTTTCTAGATTGGAAAAATGGTGTAGAAAACGATTAGCTATGTTAAAAAGTTGGCAAATTGTCCCACGTATATTTTTTTCCCAAATTAGTGTTTATTTACCCTAAAAATCGAGTTTCACTCTTTTTACACCTTTCACTATATCTCAGCCATTATTGCAGATAACTGAACAAATAAGGTATCCAGATCCATGTTTTGAGGGTCAAGGAACACAATAAAACTATTCTTAAAGTGATCACATGTGTCTGTGGCATGCTATTATGCTAATTAGTGCCGCCATTACAAGAAAATAGCATTTTAGTCTTGTACCAAGAACGGTGTATTTTGCACCGACACAGAAATATACTTATAATCAGTGTTTCCTAAGTGGAAAAAGTATGTAGAAAATGATGAGCTATGTTAAAATGTTGTCTGGATGTCCCACATGTATTTTTTATGCAAATTAGTGTCACCATTACCAAAAACGGAATTTTCACACTTTTCACTCTATCTCAGCCAATATTGCAGATAAATGAACAAATAATGTGTCTAGACCCGTGTTTTGATGGTCAAAGATCACAATAAAACTATTCCCAAAGTGATCACATGTATCTGTGGTATGCTATGCAAATTAAGAGACGCCAATATTGCAGTACAGTAAGTGAACAAATAAGGTGTCGAGACAGATGTTGTGTATTTAACCAATATTTATTTGTTTTGTACTAGCCTACAGCAAGGGTCAAACATCATAATATAAGTATTGATGTGACTACTCTTTCCCATTCCAGATAAGCAGTCAAGGTTTGGCTCTCCACTATCTGATTAATACTCAATCATCGTTTTCAATGCTATCATCAGAGTCAAATTCCTCTTCCTCTTCCTCCTCGTCTTCCTGTTCACGCTCTGTCGTGTCCAGGAGATCAACCAGGGAGGTTGGCAGGACAGGACCACAGCACCACACCGGTCTCAACACTCCATCAGTCCTCATCCATCCCTGCTCCTCATCATAGGGGTTTGGTTTTTCTAAAATTGATTCATCAGCTCGCTTGTACAGGGCGACGCGATGGTTCACACGTTGGACGTGCGGCTTCAGAGCATCATAGCATGGAGGAAGGCGAGCCAGGTCAACCTTAGACTTGGCAGTGAGTTTATCGTCCTGCCCTACCATTTTGCGCAGCAACTTGGCACGGACTACGTCCACTGAAGACTCACGACTCTCTCCATATATCAGACAGGTGAATTGCTCCAACTGCTTCAGCACCTCAGGCTTGACATTCCAGTTGTCACCGAGTTGACTGAACGCCCTGTGAAACTTCGGGTTCTTCTCCAGCTTTTTCAAGGGCCCCACCTTCCCCTTCCCTTTGAAGGCACTGGTGCAGTCTTCTCCGCTGAACACATGGAATCCAAGAAGTGTGGCACAGTAGTCTTCTCCCAGGGATTCTGCGAGCTCAGAGAGGTTGAGAAGTTGTCTATGTTTCCCTGACCCCGTATCCAGGTATATAGTCAGCCTGATGGCATGAGCGTGGTAAAGAAGAATCACAAAGATATCTGTGTCAGGTGTTCTGACTACAGCATTCTTGTACCCAAGGGCAGCAGCATGATGAAGGTAGAGTACCACCCTTGTATCAGTCTCTTCCTGGTTGCTGTAGATTGTGGGGAGCTCACGTACCTCAACCTGATACACAATGGGATATTGCACTTTGATCAACAATGACAGAGACTAGACACAAATCACAGATAATCACTTAGAGTATAATTTAACCATCAATCACTTTTAATATGGGCTTTCAATTTACCTTGCCGTTTGAGGAGAGAAGTTGATGGGCTCTCCCTTCCACGATCAGCACTGACATTTCTGTTCTCTCCAGCCTTGAAGCTGCCTGTTGATCACTCCATACTCGCAGCAGGAGCTGGCAGAGTTGCTTTTTGTTGTCATCATTTGTGAGAAACATCTTGAAGTCATATGGCTTCCTGGTTGCTGGTCCAGCCAAAATGATCTTCTCTGAACTGCCACGTCTCAACCTCTCCTGTGCTTTGATAGATCCTGGATGGTAACTGTCAGTCGAGAACAAAAAGTGCTTTTTGGCCACCATCTGATCAAGCACTTGTAGGCATATCTCCCCACATGTTGGGGGAAGGTTGGTGAGGACATGGAGCAGAGCCATGCCATCCTGGATGAACAGGGCATCCTTAGGGTATGGCAGATCCTTTGGGGTGGTGTCCTCCAGAATGTAGTGCAGAAGAGCCACTTTATTAGTCTTGGAGAAAAACCCATCTGGTGTCCCAAGGCTAGGGGGCACAGGCATTAGGGGATATTTCATGAGTTCCTCCAAGTCCAATGGGTCCTCTGCACGTTGTGACTTGACAAGGAGCAGGAAAGCAAGATTGCTTTGCTCCTGATACTGGATGACCTGGAATGATATTGATAGTGTATCATTAACAAATATGGGGTCACAACAATAAAAAATAAAGGTTATTAAATTAATTGCAATAATATAGTAGACCTCAGGTATTGGAACATCTCATTACCTTTCCCTGTGAGGATGTGAGGGTGACCTTTTTGTTACAAGCTTCCATGGTCTTGAGCTTCTTCTTTTTGATTGGGTCAGAGAAGCTAGCTGGCTCTCTGCTCTGTAGCCGTTTGATGAACTCAGCTTTAGCAGCCTTGCCCACAGTTTCTGCTTGTAGCACGTCCATCTCGACCTCCATGAGGACAGGAGCACCAGAAGCCAGGGAGTAGAGCCTGTCCTTGTCTGAGATGGTGAAGGGGTTCCTAAAGTTCCTAATTGTCTCGATGGTTCGCTGAATGGCCTCCTCACCCTTTTTGACCTCTGCCTTCTCCAGCTCCCGATGTTTCCCCGCCCTTGGGCAGTCTGGGTCTTTGATGAGGTCCACCATCTCAAGGGTCTTTTGATAAAACTGTGCCCGTGTGGAGGTTGTTCGACACCACCTCTGGTATGCCCCAAACTGGCTGTATAGTCCAGTGAAGCCACCTTAAAAGTATGAAACAAATATGTGATCTACTGCTCCCACACAATAAGTTACATGCATTTTAATTCAGAAATCATCAAATAAAATGTGGTTTTGTGAGAGCAGTATACAATTGTATTATATAATATAATAATCTTGATACAATGTCTGTATATCTGTTCAATGTCTGGGTAAAAATCATAATGTACCTGATGATTTGGCAAAGCGCATGAACGTTTCCTCCATGGTCTTGTCGACTGCACTAAGTGCCCCCGGTATCATTGAGCGGGCCACCGCAATTGCACCCTTAGAAAGCAGGTCTTTGGCCCCTGGGTGTGTGTTCTCCAGGTTTGTCAGATAGACCTCCAGCCAAGTCAGATATCTGCAGATAAGGAAAGGCACAGATTACACATAGAAACATTTATTTTCAAAGCTTGTCTCATAATGCAAATTTGGTAAATTGTCATGTAAATAGCACAAACCTTGAGTAGTTGTGTCCATCAAATGCAAAGAAGATATTTGCCATCTCTCCATTGCATTTGTGAAACAACTGGATGTTGTTGGTCTTAACGGAGTGGAGTAGCATGAAGACAAGATGACAGTGGTTAATAAATGACATCCATAAGGCAGCTGTCTTTCCCAGGTGACCCTTGAGCACCTTCTCCTCATAGGCGTGATACTTCTCGATGAGGGTTAGAGTTGAGCGGTCTTTGAGGGCTTCATCGAGGTGCTCTCGATTGCAAGACTGGGTCATGTTGAGAAGTGCAGCAGGGTCAGTGATAAGGACGCTTTCCTCCTCAATGAACCGCTCCATCAACAGCCTCTCCATTGATTCGCACAGAGTTTTGAGGCAAAAGAGGTACTTTGCGTATGCCTTTCCACTTAAAACACCTTTGACGCCGGGTACCTGGCAGCCTCTCTGCTCTGCCACCTCTCCTATCTGCATGTGGTTATGTGTGTGCATGTATATCCTCTGTGTTTGTGCATGTATATCCTCCCCTGTATGTGTAATGTGTGTTAACACAACAGAGTGGGGAAAGAAATGTCCCTGTAAGGGATTAATAAAGTGTGTCTTCTTCTTCTTCTTCTTGAGGGATCCACTTGTCACTAGTTGTGCCTCAAACAGAATCTCTGCATATCCAGAACCACACATTTTGCGGCGTGTGAGCATCCCAATATAGTTCTTTTTTCTTTTGGTGTGAACGCAACTTTTCGGAACTATATCGGAACTATTGTGGGAAAATTAATCCGGTGTGAAAGCGCCTAAAGACAATCTGTTATACAATCAGAACTTTTGAAAATTATAACAGATGTTCTGAGAGCAGCCATCATGTTCCACAGTTTAACCTGTTAAGCCCAGGCCTCAGGCTCGAAAAATGACATGCCCAGAATGACTGATTATATCTTCACAACTATAAGGGGTATATGAATAATATTTTTTATCAAAGCAATGATACACCTGTGAGTTGGCTGTAGAAGTGTCAGAATCAATATAGATCTTGCTGTGTCAGAGTAAATTCAGATTAAACATAGTAAAAAAAAATTTTTCTAATCTCCGCCTAAAAAAACCTATAACCTATTTCACTATTTATAGTGAAAACTACCCCTTAATGATGGAAACCCTCTTTCCTGGCTGCTAATTCAGTGAGTTTTGTCGTACAGTGATGAGACTTATACCAATGGAATCTGATGAATCTCAGCTTTCATATGATATGTCATTTATGCAGATAGCATGAAGTAGAAAAATCGCCAGTCATGTGCTAATGTGGCGTTAGCGTTAGTGTTCGTTAAGTGCTGATTTAGACGCTTGGTATTGGAATTGTGTTTCGTTTAGGTTAAAATGGTTATTATCATCTGTTAGCTTAGTTTCTTCCCGTTAAGTGGGTATGCAACGTTAATAGGTTGTTACATTGTAACAAGCCCTGGGACGCTGTGGTACCGGGGGCAATCGGGCTTAACGGGTTAAGAATACTGCCCTGCAGTTTTGCATTACAATTACTGCCTTTTTTTTAATTAACATTAGCTAGCTTAGGAGTTCATTAAGCCTAGCTAGCTGTACAGCTAGCTAGCTACCTAGCACTACCTAGCTAATAGCTTTATTCAACAAGCTACACCATTAGCTATCCCTCATTCACGTCACTGTTAGTTAGTTAGCTAACATTAGCTAGCTAATAGTTTACCATATTTTACTGCAGTTAGCCTCTGCAGGGCAGAATAACACTAACACATGTTCTAGTGTGTAGCCTACTTTGGGCTGCAAAATGATGTGTTAACAACAATTAAGCTAGAAACCTATATAAAACATACAAAACACATGAGTCTAGTTGAGTTAGCTACTTACCTTGTTTGTTTGAAGGTTGAATGTGTGTGTGTAGCCAAGTCAGCTACTTGTTTGTTTTTGGCGGGAAAAAAGGCGGGAATTTTCACTACTGCCAGTGCTGTATACTAGCATGCCACAGATACATGTGATCACTTTGGGAATAGTTTTATTGTGATCTTTGACCATCAAAACACGGGTCTAGACACATTATTTGTTCATTTATCTGCAATATTGGCTGAGATAGAGTGAAAAATGTGAAAATTCCGTTTTTGGTAATGGTGACACTAATTTGCATAAATAATACATGTGGGACATCCAGACAACATTTTAACATAGCTCATCATTTTCTACATACTTTTTCCACTTAGGAAACACTGATTATAAGTATATTTCTGTGTCGGTGCAAAATACACCGTTCTTGGTACAAGACTAAAATGCTATTTTCTTGTAATGGCGGCACTAATTAGCATAATAGCATGCCACAGACACATGTGATCACTTTAAGAATAGTTTTATTGTGTTCCTTGACCCTCAACACATGGATCTGGATACCTTATTTGTTCAGTTATCTGCAATAATGGCTGAGATATAGTGAAAGTTGTAAAAAGAGTGAAACTCGATTTTTAGGGTAAATAAACACTAATTTGGGAAAAAAATATACGTGGAACAATTTGCCAACTTTTTAACATAGCTAATCGTTTTCTACACCATTTTTCCAATCTAGAAAAGCTGATTAGAAGTATATTTCAGGGGGGTGCATGATACCCCCTTCTACCCACTAGACTAAAGCTGTTGCCTGGCAACGCAATTCTGTTGATAGTTATGGCTGATAAGGCTTATTACTTATTGGCTTATTACTTATTACTGTTTTGATATTTGAAACCCCAAACCGATGGAAAAACCCCACAGCAACATAGAAAAGACGGTCATAACATGACCCGGCGCCCTAGTTAATAGACAACATAATTTCATACATAATATTATTATTGACTTTATTTTGAAATTCAGTTCCTGATGGACGGCAAAAAAGCCAGAGATTATAGAATTAAACAAATGAATAAAAACAAGGATAATTGTGTGTTACTGTTGAGTAAATAACAGTGTGTTATTTAGAAAATAATAACAAATTAGAAGGAAAAAAAGATTAAAAAAAAACATATTTCAGTATTCTGAGCCGCATTTATTTTCCTCACGGACGGCAAAAAAAGTCTGACATTATAGAATTTAAAATAAAAACAATAATCGTGGCTTGATATTGAGTAAGAAAATGTTTTTATGAACCACACAGCTTCCGGTCTTCCAAGACCCGACCGGACAAAAAGACGTGTTGCAGGCACGAAACAGACTACCACTAGAAATGCATTGCTTTTAAAATCGTTCTGTGTGACACGAAAAAAAGGGGAAAATCGTGTCGGTGAACACGAATCAATAGATTACATTTCGCGACTATAACACGAAATGCCGTGAGACTGGGTTGATACACCACAGGCTGCACCAGTGAACGAAGTACTGGAGGTTGGGTGTGCAAAAGGGTTTGTTCACAAAATACAACTCAAACCAAATGCTGTGCCAGTACAACAGAAACTGAGGAGACTTCCATTCTCTGTGAGACAGGCTGTGACTGTGACTGTGAAAAGGGCATCATTGAATGTATTGATGCATCTCCATGGGTCTCCCCAATTGTGGTGACTCAGAGAAAAGAAGGAGGAAAGCCTCGCATGTGTGTGGATCAGAGGGAGCCAAACAAGTCAATTGTCAATGACTGTCATCCCCTACCACACATGGATGAACTGTTCACTAACCTGCGAGGGTCTACAGTTTTTTATTGACCTCGCCTCTGCCTATCACCAGATGCTGCTCCATCCAGATTGTCGTGATTTGACTGCATTTATCACACATGATGGACTTTTCCGTTTCTGCAGAGTTCCAATTGGCCTAGCTTCAGCTCCGTCAGCCTTTCAAAAGATGATGTTAATCATACTTACAGGCCTACCACGAGTACAGGCTTACCTTGATGATGTCATATGCTATGGTGTCACCCAGCAGGATCATGATGCTAACCTACAGAGGGTGATGCATGCCCTTAATGAAGCAGGACTAAAACTGAACATGCAAAAGTGTAGGTTCAATCAGACTTCTCTGCGTTTTCTGGGCCACACCATTTCAAAGGATGGACTTCACCCTGACAAAGACACAGTCAGCGCTGTAACTGATGCACCTGCCCCACACGACACATCCTCTCTACGTTCCTTCCTGGGCCTTGCATCATGGTACAGTAAGTTCATTCCAGATGTTGCTACTGTTGTTGAACCGCTACGTGCAGTACTCAGAGACTCTACTGACCTGAGGTTCCAGTGGACTACTGAGGCTGATTCCAGTTTTGCTGACATTAAGAGACTGATAGCTGAGAGCCCTGCTCTTTCCTTGTATGACCCCCAGTTGCCTACATTTGTTACTACTGATGCTTCTGATTATGGACTGGGAGCTGTACTCACCCAAATTCACTCTAATGAGACAGAGAGAATTGTAGCATTTGCATCCAGGACGCTTTCTCCTGCTGAAAGGAAGTACTCTACGGTTGAACGTGAAGCACTTGCATGTGTTTGGGCGGTGGAAAAGTGGAGAACCTATCTCTGGGGACATTCCTTTGTGCTACGTACAGACCACCAAGCCCTTACAACCCTGCTCACATCCAAGGGTGCTGGTCGAGCCGGTCTGCGCATCGCACGATGGTCAGCTCGACTACTCTGCTTCACTTATGATGTCACCTACCGTCCTGGGAAACAAAATGTGACAGCTGACTGCCTTTCCAGACTTCCGCTGCCTACCACTACAGATTTCACTGAGGTACCGGACATGGTGGCTATGGTTTTAAAGAATCCTTGCATGCACTCTCTGTTCCAGAATACACCGCTGCCTGTGACACCTGCCCTGAACTGACACAACTGCGATGTCAAATACAAACAGGTTGGCGAAAGTGCAGAAAGAATGTATCACCAGAACTTGCTCCGTACTTTAATGTGCGAGATGAACTGGCCGTGGATAACTCACTTGTCATGAGAGTCATTGATCGCATGGTCGTTCCCACTTCACTACGTTCCAGAGTGGTGGAATTGGCTCATGAGGGACACCAAGGGATAGTGCGTACTAAGCAGAGACTGCGTGAGTTATATTGGTGGCCACAAATGGACAAATGTGTACAGACTATGATTGCTTCTTGTGTGTCATGCCAATACAGTGACAAAACAGCAAAGACTGCAACTGCACCACTTACACCTGTGGAGCTGCCAGATGGACCTTGGGAAAAGGTAGCTATTGACATATCAGGACCCTTTGAATGTGCTACATGGGACTGCCGCTATGCCATCGGCCTCACAGATTATTACAGTAAGTGGCCAGAGGAGGAATTTGTTTATTCTGTCACTACAGATGTCATCAACCGCTTCCTCACTTCAGTGTTCAGTCGTGAGGGAAATCCATCCTACCTGGTCTCTGACAACGGATGTCAGTTTACCTCTCATGCGTTTGCAACCTTTTTGAGAGAGAGAGATTATTTATTTGTATTTAATCGTTTATTTAGCAGAGACAATGCACAGTAATGAACACTTAAAACATTAAAATGTGTCAAGCGTAACAGTGTCAGATTTAGCTTGGAGCTCATTTCCATCTGCAGTCCCTCACATAAAACATTTAAGAAAATTACATTTTACAAACATAGCATTAACAAAATACATGATATGCAAAAAGTGTAAAAGAGCAAGAGCAGCATACACAAGTATTAAGACATGGTAATACAATATAGCAGCAACGACATATAAAGTGCAAGAGAAGATACAAGAGATACATAAAGTGCAAGAGGAGATACGTGTTAAAGTGCATTTAGCGGTGATTGCACGTCTGTTTGTTTCTCAACCATTCTCTGAGTTGACCTTTAAAACTATTGAGAGTGGGACAATCCCGTAACTCAGTTGGGAGGCTATTCCACAATGAGCTGCCTTTAATGGAGAGGACATTTTGTCCAAAAGTGGTCCGTCTGCGGTGGACTTCAGTCTCCTCTGGTTTCTGACCTAGTGCAGCGTCCAGTGTGTTTTCTGTGGATGAATTCCCCTAAGGGAGGAGGAGGGGGGGGGGGGGGGGGGGCAGTCCATGTAAACATTTATAAATAAAACACATACTTTTAAAAGACTTAAACTTGTCAAAACTCAAGAAATTGTGTTTTTCAAGGATGGTACAGTGGTGGTATGAATATGGCTTTCATATTGAGCACCTGCGCTCCAGTATCTACTATCGGAGAGCAAATGGAGCTATTGAGAGATTCAACAGAGTACTGAAAGAATGCATACAAACTGCAGAGAGAATGCACATGGAAACAAGCAGTGACAGAGTTCTTACAGAACCATAGTGCTACACCTCATGCTACTACTGAGGCTACGCCATTTGAGTTGTTGAAGAGTAGGATAATGCACACTAAACTGAACACTTTCCCTGTATCACACACAACCAAGACACACAAGCAAGTGGAAGAGACTGTGAAACACGAGCAAAGGAAAAGCAAAGAGTACACAGACAGGAAGGTTGGGGCAAAAGTGCCCATGTTCCAAGTGAATGATGCTGTACGCGTCCGAAAACCTCAACATGTGTATAAGGGATCATCCAGGTTCACAGAACCCCTGACAGTTGTTAAAAAGGTTGGACCGAGTACATACCTTCTCAGTGATGTACGAAAGTGGAATTCATCAAAGCTTGCACACTTTCCAAAGCAGGCTTTAGCATGCAAAAGTGAGGACAATAACAATATGCTTGATGGACTCATGGTGCCAGAGAACGTGGTTCATAATGCACCTGAACAAGGTCCAAGACGAAACCTGAGAGTCAGAAACCCACCACAGTGGTTGACAGGTTTTGTAAGATAAAACAAAATGAAAATATGGACAAACAGTAATGCCATAACTGAGAATGTATTGATAGTGTTATGTGAATGTAAGTATTGATACTGTTATGTGAATGTAAGTATTGATACTGTTATGTGAATGTAAGTATTGATACTGTTGTGTGAATGTAAGTATTGATACTGTTGTGTGAATGTAAGTATTGATACTGTTATGTGAATGTAAGTATTGATACTGTTGTGTGAATGTATCCTGTTCTGAGGACTGAGTTAAAGAAAAAAAAAAAAGTAAAAATATATATATATAAGAGTAATCTGAGTTTGCATTCAAGTCTTGCACTAAGAACCAGTAATACTTTATGGTTTAATATGTTGATGTCATTGTCTTGAGTTACAGGACGCTGTGTTAACTACAATATTTCATTTTACTGAGTTACATACAGTAGGAGGTTATTCCTTCAAGAGAAGGGGACATGTTGTGTCCTGTTACTGTAGCCAGACGGCGCTGTTGGACAGAGAGTTGATATAGGATGCCTGAAGGTGGAAGTTGGATAAAGAAGAATAAAGATGGAGTAAAGGATAGCACACGTGCCTACGGCTCATACTTTCTACCTACTTGCATACCTACAAAATACCACTAACTTCCAGGTTCATACTTTGGGTATTCTAGTAAAACATTTGTACATGCTTTAATGTTACACAAACTTTCTTTTCTTTGTGTCTGGATACCTGTTTCAAACACTATGTTTTAGCTGCTCAAAAGGGTTTTACTTTCAAGGCAAAGGCTTGAGTCCATGTTCACCCTCTGATGGCGTTTACTGCAAACCAAAATGAACTGAGACACATTCAGAATGTTTAGAGCTGCTTTACAATTAAAAAAGCTTTATATTTAAAAACCTCACTTTTCAAAAATCACTTTATAGTCTAAAAGGCATTACCTATATTTTCCAAAAAAAAAGCGTCTTGTCATCCAGGATCTTGCATATATTCCGGCCAAACATCTCTCGCCAAAAATCTTCTAAATGTCACCCAACAAGAGGACATACCCTCCATTACAAAGTGCACCATGATGGATGTGGCTGAGGTGGAACTGTTCTTAGGAAGGTTCATGTATAAAGAGAACTGAGCAGTGTCAGAAGCAGGACTCTGTTCATTCCTATATTCCACAATGTGTTTTGACAGAAATACGACTGAACTGACTCGACTTCCAGCATCAGCCTCCATGGCGTTAGAACAGGACTTATTATTGGAACTGAAACACTCAGGTAATCTGAACAACACAGTAACTGAACTCTTCAGAAAGAAAGGAGGATGGTTTTTGGGAACAAATAATCAAACGTATTGGTGAGTAATGGCTATAATTACTTTTATTTAACATTGTTGATATTTTCTTGTCATTTTATGAAGTAAATATTGTTGCTTCTGCTAGAGATGATGTGTGGCGCAGCAGTGAAAGGAGGCTTGTTGAATTGTGTTGTTTGGTGTTCTTGCTTTAGTAATGGCATTCATTCTCTCTACATTAGAAACCTGTCTGTGATGCAGCGCCCTGTTATACTGCGTTAATGTATCATATTAATGGTTTCTATAGCCGTGACGTCATAATAATGCTATTAGGAGGTGGATTCATTCAGGTAGACACTACTGAAGGCCTAGGTGGGAAATGCACGGCCTGTTTCTGTTTTCAACATAACTCATTTGAAGATATTGTGAGACAAAAAAACTATAATTATGATGCAAATAAAAAACACATTTTTGTATGAAATTTCATTAAAGGTCATTTTTTTTATTGGTAATTTAATCTTGATCAGAATTCAACAAAAGCCAAACATTTTATTATTATCTCCCACCGGCCAAGCAAATACATTCAATAGTAAAAACCCTAAACATATTAAATTCATAACCATATATAACAAGGAAAAGCATTACATTCTCTATCTTCTATCAAAATGATCGTAACTAATTGATTATTCAGATCATTGTTGCAGCTGAATTCTGTAACACGAGGACTTTGAGGAAAGAAACACACTTTTCTCTGATAAAAGCCGACACAGCAATTCAGCTTTAGAGCTCATCCCTCTTCTTCTCCTCCTCCTCGTGGAAGACTTGTCCATCCGGCTGCTTCCTCCAGGCCAGATGGACGTTGTCGTCCAATCCCTGGGCCCTTAGGTTCTTTTTCGCCTGACACACAAAAACTCATTATCATTATCGTTCCAATAAAAACAGATGATTTATCTTTAGTTCACTCATCTGAAATGGTAGTTGTTCCCCTTATTTCTTCCAGTGTAAAGGCTTACCTCAGGTTATGGAATAGTATTTGTACATGTTCCTAATGCATTTGGTGGCATGTGGCTAAGTTTCTGCTATTTACTTCTGCACATATTTACACGTCTTCTTACTAAATGCTTGGGTCCTGTTATTTGTGGCCAAAGTATTGAATGTATAATGGATATAGAATTTCATTCATGTTCATCTTGGTCCATTTCATTCGTATTGAAATTCATTTACTACATTTTCTTTCATTGAATTCATTATTCTTTAATAGTTATTTATTTGTTTCCTACCTCTTTCGTCTCTTGTTCTCATGTCCTGTGAATTTCCTTTCTGGTGATTGATGATTTTGCATAAAAGTAGAAAACATGATTTACCTCCACCAACATCGCATCCAGAAAGGCTTGGTCGTTCAGATCCACACCGTTTGGTTTCTCCACCCTCACCTTTATCACAGGCAGAACAGCTAAAAACACAAACAAACTTCATCAGTCACAACATTTATGATTGTTTATTTTTCAACAGACTCAATATCATCACTTGCTTTGACGTAGCTGTGAATTTTACTCACGTCTGTAGCAAATGAATGGTTTCTCCACTTCACAGTCCAAGTCCTCCCATTTTCCAGAGTTGTCGAAAGCTGCAGCCACACAAACCTTTGAAGCTCTGTAGTTAGGTTCATTTACTGCCCAGTACTTGAAGGAGGAGTTGCTTCCATCGGACCACTTCCAGGAGTCTCTGTAAAGGCCAATCCAATAAGCCCCTCCAGGAAACAGCTCAACAAGCTGCTGGTTCTCCGCCCGGTTTCTCACACTGGCCAGGTCTGTGTGGTGTTCTCTGCAGTAGCTCTGGGCCTCAGTCCATGTCATTGTGCTGTCAATGTGGACAAATGCTGCATTCGGCCCTGAAAATGGACCCCAGAGAAGCTGAGTAGAGGCACCACAACATACAGCCTGACATCAATGCCACATCTCTGGTGGTATTGATGCCTTTATAATATAAAATATTACATTTAAATCCCACAAAGGTGTACTTTGTAATTTGTAGTTCTTGGGTTTTTCAACACATGAATGTTGGCAAGAAACTTTAGTAGTATCAGTGGTGGAATATTCAGATCTTTTAGTAAAAGCAGGAGCACAACAATGTGAATATACTGTGTTACAGGTTAAAGCTTCATTCAAATTATATTGATTCTATATTGTTCTTATTCTGTTTAGCACAGATGTATAAGATGTAAAACGTACCTACAATTCTAAAACAAGTTTGCAAAGAATTGTATATACATAATTTCCTTTTACGTTATCATTTAAATGAAACCATGTGAGAATGTTAGTGAAAAGGGAAATGTCTTTAGTGGAACTGCTAACAAAAGAAAAAAAAGTCACAAAGAAAAAGGTTGGGAACCGCTAGTTAGATAAAGACCAATGCATTGTATTTCAGAAGCTTAAAATATGATTTTAAATGTGTTATATTAATTTTAAGTTTATATTCTTACCTGTGACATCAAAGCAGAGCACCCAGAAGTAGGTATTACAAGGATAATCATGCCATGCTCCACCAGAATAAAAAGTTGTGCATTGTTCATCGTGAAAGGTGCCTGGTTCTCCAGGCCCCCATTGTCTGAACTCCGTCTCCCCCGGTCCGTAGAAGCTTGGGTCTGACATCGACCACTTCCAGGTGTCCCGGTCCTCGTGCAGCCCTATCCAGGCTGACTGAAAGCAAGACATTGTTATAATTATTACATCCTGTTGAAGCTTTTAAAGCTGCTGCTTAAGAAAATGTGTATGTTTAATAAAGAGAAGGTTTGTTTGCCTTTATGAGACCAGCCTTGGTACATGGTGATCTGATGGGAATCCCCTCAAGTCAACATTCATTTACAGCCTTGTTACTCTGAACCTCTTCAACTTTATTACAGGGTTTTATGCTATAGCTTTGGCTTAAAACATTTTCAACTCTGTTTTAATACTCAGGTTCCCATAGGACTTTCAAACAGGTTTAGCTTTCTGTAATAATCTCTCCTTTTTAAATTTGACTCTAAAATAAATGTAATTCATTTGAATTGAAAGACAGAGAAAAGTGACCTCACTTGTTTGTATTGGCCTGCCATGTTGTTCAGGAGCTCCACAACCTCCATGCTGTCTACAGTGGCCAGGTCTGTGTGTTTCTCTCTGCAGTATCTCTGTGCTTCAGACATGGTCTTTGCTTCAGAAACAAAATGGTACTGACGTTCAGCATGTGAGGAGACAGCGCTCAGCCCTGTAGAGACACAGACACTTTGATTAGATTCAATATCAATTACTGAACCAAGTTCTCCAAATGACATTAAAGTTAAACTGTAAATTAAACAACTTAAGTAATTGTCAGTGGGAAACCACAATAGAAAGTACTAAAAATTGCTAATGGGATAACATATTTTAAATACAAATAATAATTACCTGAAAGAGCGATGATGATCAGAAGAACCTTTTCCATCCTTGTCTCTTCCCTGTTCCTCTCTTTTGGAATGAGACTGTAGAGGTGCAGCTGTTGACACTATACATAGGTAAAATGCAAAGTGGATATGGAACTGACAGCTTTTTTACATCAGGCTTATTTACTTACATTTGCACATGCATTTACAAGGAAAGACCAATAGAGTAATATGGGCGTAGGACTGGTGATGCAGCAGGAAAACCAAATTCATGCCCATAAACAAAAAAAATACAAAAGGTCTGAAACAACACTGATCATTTTATATAATAATACATTTAAAAGATCACAAAACCATTGTAAGAATTATTGCACTAACAGTAAGAATTATTGCACTAACTTCCAGCTTTATACTTTGGGTATTCTAGTAAAACATTTGTACATGCTTTAATGTTACACAAACTTTATTTTTCTTTGTGTCTGGATACCTGTTTCAAACGCTTTGTTTTAGCTGCTCAAAAGGATTTAACTCTCAAGGCAAAGGCTTGAGTCCATGTTCACCCTCTGATGGCGTTTACTGCAAACCAAAATGAACTGAGACACATTCAGAATGTTTAGAGCTGCTTTACAATTAAAAAAGCTTTATATTTCAAAACCTCACTTTTCAAAAATCACTTTAGAGTCTAAAAAACATTACATACATTGTTAAAAAAAAAGTGTCTTGTCATCCAGGATCTAACATCTCTAACCAAAGATCTTCTAAATTTCACCCAACAGGAAGACATACAGTGGAGGAAATAAGTATTTTATATTTTTTTATATTAGATTTAGTAAGTTTACCCACTAAAAAAGAAATTAACAGTCTATATTGTTAATGGTAAGTTTATTTTAACAGTGAGAGTAAGAATATCAAAAAGAAGATCCAGAAATTGACATTATATAAAAGATAAAAATGTATTTGCATTTAACTGTGGGAAATAAGTATTTGATCCCCTTGCAACACTTGTCTTAGTACTTGGTGGAGAAGCCCTTGTTGGACAGACAGAGGTCAGACGCTTCTTGTAGTTGGTCTCCAGGTTTGTGAACATCTCAGGAAGGATTTTGGTCCACTCCTCTCTGAAGATCCTCTCCAAATCCTTAAGGTTTTGAGGCTGATGCTTGGCGTCTCAAAGCTTCAGCTCCCTCCACAGATTTTCTATGGGATTAAAGGTGGGGTATGTAATTTATTTCAGAAACACTTTTTGTTATATTCCATGGAATGCTCTTAACATCCCGATAGCAATGAATATATTAAATGCTTTGACAATAAATACATTAAAAAAAATGTCATCTGTGGAAGCCGTGGTACTGTAAAAAGCACGACCAATTATCTGAGCCGGCCCGGCTAAAATAACTGCTGGCCTACCTGCCTGTCAGCCTTCCATCTCGTGCACAAACTTGTCTCGTGCCCTCATTGGTCATGTGAGCGTTTGTGTGTGTTGGAGGAGGGGCTCTATAAGGAAGTCTGAAGGAAGGGGCAGATTTTTTTCGGCTGCGTACTTTCAAGTAGCGCACTCGAGCTGGTTTCTCCATTCTTACCTACCCTACCTTTAAGACAGATAACAAAAGCGATAGTTATAAATATCAGTGGCGAACCGTGTCTATCACAACTGGACCTTCTGTTGCACTTGCCATTTCAACGTTAAAAACAATAAAACGGCATGAATTGCTTCGTCGCATTCATCTAGATCCTCTGGCCGTTTCTCAATCGCAAGGATATTGGCTTCCAAGCCAATATTTCAAGGATGCTCCGTCATCAAGTGGCGCAACAGGACCGTTCCAATGTCCAGCATACTTGGAATTCCACCGAGGCCGCGTCCTTGGTTTGGGGGAAATTTCGAGGCTGCACATGGCCAAGTCAAGTGGACTTCGCGTCCTTAAAATCCCCACAATGCTTTGTGCACGGACCAATTTCCCCAAATCTGTGGCGGAAAATGTAAAGTGGGGCCTCTCATATGACGCACACCTGCACACTTGCTAGCCTGTTCCACTCTTCGTTTTCTGAATGCCAGGAAGGATTCTTGCCTAGCTTCTGAAGGAAGTGACTCGGAAGACATGTGCTACCAAGCAAGCGTACTCGAGATTGAGAAACGGCCTCTGTCTCGAGCCAGTTAACTAGCGGGCCTTCGAGAGTACCCTGGAACCGAGGGAAACTCTGAAAGAATACGCCCATTGGCTACAAATCAATATATGATTGGTTGATCAAAGTGTCAGTCCAAATGTACGCTCTCATTCAGTGCAACGGCCAGGGCATTCTATCAAGGATGCAGAATACCTTGGTTGAAGGATATTCTACCCGGAGACCCAGAACAAGATCTGATTGGTTGCTTTCTTTTCTAACACAAAACCACTGAAATGCGTAGTGCATGGTCCGAGAAGGACAAACAAAACAACGTAACACTGTAATATTACAGATCAACAACACAGATACGATTCTCATTTATTCATTTTATGACATTTTATGACATTTTATGACATTTTATGACATTTTATTTATATAATTAAATCAATTTTTTGTTTGTTTTATCTGAGTGTTCCAGGGTATTCTCTGAATACCTTGAAGGCCCTGACGGTTCGCCACTGTTAAATATGTTATTTTAAAAATCAGTGGTCCATACCTCAAATAAACTGACAGAGGCAGTGGCGACCGACATCGTTAGGATCACTTTCAGACTGATTTTAAACGAGAAAACCGCTTTGCAACATCCGGCAATAAAAGGCATCAAGTCAGGGTGTCTTGAGTCACTGTTTAGAAATGACTTTATCGTTCATTAGAGGGGAGGCTCACATTGTTACGATTTTAGTTATAGTAATACTTCTTTGTGTGGACAGTCATTATGAGTCTACAGTCACACTAGCAGCTGAGTGAGGATGTACTTGGGCTAACAGGCTGATAATAAGGATTATTATTACTGACATTACAATTCCTCCTCTTGGGACTATGAGAGTCTGCACCAAGTTTCACATCCAAAAGTTTGTCAAGATATTTCACTAAAGAACTAAACAATTAATCTCATGATGGCTAGAGGAAAGGTCATAATTTAACTTCTTGAATGCATCTTCTTGGGACCCTGGATATCTGTTGAGAATGTCGAGGCAATTTAAATACTGTTCGAGATATCAGTCTGAATCACCAATTTAAACCCAATGGTGGCACAAAAGTAACATTCAGAGGTTCACCAAAGTCAGTAGGATTCATCCTCTGGGGATCATGAATGTCTGTAATGTAAGTAATGTATTTTTATATATTTGGTTGATAATTAATAAGACTAAAAGGTCAGTCTAAGTCAGTAGTCATTACTGGCATGGGCTAATATTAAAGATTGAAATATAGAAATGATAAGAAAAAAGAATAGTTACTTTATTGTTCTTTATGTTTTTTAAGTAAAGCTCTAGTTAGATAAATAATGGCATGTGAATGAGCAGACTGCTGTCACGCATGTTTGGTGCTAACAGTTATCAGATATAACATTCAAATGATATGTTTGCATATAGTTAGGAAGGCCGGAGCAGCGCAACAATAGAACAACCCTGAGGCTAAACCTGACAATACATCTGTTCTCTTTGGATGA